ATATAAGACACAAATAAGTGAACTTAGAGTCAGTAATGCTTGAACAAGAAAGAGGTACTCCACTCATGGGACCAGGCACCCAAGAACAATTAAACAAATAAAACTAATGATTCTCCAAGTTTAAATGAGAATAAATTGTTTGAAGTTTATCTCAATGAATGAGTTTATTATATTAAAGGGAAATTAAGTTTAATTTAAATAATTCTGATTTATCAACAACAACTTTATTAGAATTACCAATATCAGTAGAGTAGGAACATAGAGAGGAGCGATTGAGACAAACCCATCATTTATAAATACTCATCAAATACTAGGATACCCTTCCTTATAAGACCTAGCTTAAATAATGATTTCAGTTGGACTGGCATAAAACTTAACTGCACTAAGAGCATTAAGTATAGAATGTCTATAAGGAGGCCATATGAAGTTGCATGCTAGAAATGTAGTAATCTCTGCAGGAGTTCCCACATATTTAGTCAATGATACTGTTGAATTCATGAAGCTGTGAAACAAAATAAATGCGAGTCAGCTTAAACCTATCTTAACGGACATTAGCTTTTTAAAGCTCATCAGAAAATAGGATAAGCAAAGATTTGAGTAATTTTTACGTAGAAATAAGAGAGGGCTATCTTCATGAGCTATTTAATAATCACTATTCTATTAGATTGCAAAACATAAAAAAACTTATCATTTAAGACTTGAAAATGATCCAAAGCTCTCAGAATCACTGACTAAGCTAAAAACACTCTTGTTTGGATGGAATAAGGGTGTATACTGGATGAAATAATTCCTTGGCCTGTTAAAATCGATCATCTTCACTAAAAAGATTCCTATTAAATAGGATTTAATCCTGACTCAATGCAGAATAAAACTACTTACAATTCTATCTAATCTCCTACTATAAAAAATTATGAAGTATGAGATAGAGTGGACTTAAAAATTCGTATAAATAATGATAGATCAACTTTAATAAGACATTCCTAGATAAGAAGCTCACAAAATATTTAAAAGCCAAATCCCTTCATCACAAAATGAAAACAGCATTTAAAGTCTAGTTATTTCAGTAGGGTACTCACTTATGAAAGAGATCACATTTAATCTGATTGTCTACTTAAATGTGGATGTTAACAATTCCATCTTAAAGTAGGAAATCTATGAAGAATTCATATCAATTCTTCATTCGCTAATAAGTTCCAGAGATATATACATCAAGTCATAGTCTACCGAAAAAATGGACAAAATCTAAGCTAAGAAGAACTTTACTCTTATATGAGTATCAAAAGAAATAATATGAGCAATAAATTGATAGTACTGGCAGTTTGAATAGGATTAGAGGATATCACACCTGAAGAGTTAATTGAATATATATCAAGCATGGGTAAAATTTATGAGATTAGAGCCATTGCTTGTTAACCTTTAGTCTCCTCCAGCTATTTTGACAATCTTTACAATTATTAGCACATGTATCAAAATTGCTAAGAGGATATTATTATAAGCAATAATGTTGCTACTAAGACAGAATTTCTGAACTTCATTAACTATGCTTTTGACAAAGTATAAATTGAGAGATAGTTAGTACTTCGATCAACAATATAACGATGAGATTATGAAGTATATTGAGAGATATTATAAGTTAGATCCAAAACTAGA